TGGCTCAACACTTTTGTCCAGAGATATATGTATGATCTCTGTATGATTGCCATGCTCCCTTATCCACTAAGTTCAGGAACTTTTTATGTCCTGTCAGCAGTATGCATTTGTCTAGGTTTTAATGGAACATTGGCATGGATGCATAAAACTGGCATCCAGAGGGGCTCCTCGTGGATATTTCAAGCATCATATCCTTCAGTTACTGCATTATGGCTCATTTTTATGCACCAATTTGTGCCTAAAATTGGTGCATAAAAATTTTATACAATTTGTGCATCAAATCTTTATGCGATTTGTGCATAAAATATATGGAGGTAATCTCAGTAAGACTTTTCTATCACATATTGATACGCACAAATTTATGCAATATGTGCACATCAATATATTATGGAAATGTGTCAATTCATGGAACACACAAAATACAGGCAGAAGGTGGCAATTCACAATGTAATGGAATATCACATAAGTCAGCAGTAAGCATTCTGTAATTCTTACTTTCCTCAAGTAATAATATCCATATAATGTCCTAATATAACAACCTCCTTTTCTCTTCAGGCTCCTACATGCTTATCAACCTGACTGCATGCACACTGCATCAGAGGAGAAGAGCATTTGCGTCTGGTGGGATAATTACCTTTGCAAAAGAGTGAGTCATTGTATGAGTTCATAATTCATATTAATATAGATTTTTTTCTTGCCTAAAAAAGACCCAGTTATGAAGCAAAAACGAAACACTCCTGTCTGAGTATTTATGAGTGGCATTTTATCGGCTTTTATAAATTAAATAATTAAATAAATGATTCTTTTTGTGCTTACAATCATAAAGAATCGCAGATATTCTCAACATTTAGGAGGCAAGTGCAGGAGCCACACTGTGCAGAGCTTTGTTTTGCTGCTGGGATGGAAGGGGTCTTCCCTCCAACCCGAGTTAGATCGTAATGTAATGTCTTAAATTATCATTTTTACAAGACACTTAAGATGCTTGTGTCTGGTTTACAGCAGTCCTTACAAGTTTTCAAGTGAAGTCTGATAAACATGACTCAGAGTCTCATCTCTTTTTTACAGGGTCGTCCGTCTGGCATGGGCACCGTTAAAGTGCACAGACCTTGCAGTGCGAATTTGCTTGCAGTCATGTATTTGACAGCTTTCTGCCAGCCTTGGATAATGTGCCGTGTTCGATCTGTTTGCCTATACTGCTGGCATTACAACTAAAGTTCCTGTGAGCTGGGATCCATTGGTAAACACTTATGTGGTATTTCTTTGGTGCGGTTCCGTTCTCAGGTAAGTCTGTGTGGCTTCTTATGCAGCAGTGGAATGAAGTAAAGCATCTCTTCTGTCAGTGACCCATACATCATAACGGAGCAGCATAAGTGGCGACGCTGAAAGAATCTTAAACGGTGAGTGTAAAGGCTGAGTGGAGTATTAATCGCACTGCACTTTCTCTATAAATGTTAAATTGAGCTGGTTAGCTGTGAGCCCAGCTCCATTGTTAAGGTTTTACAACAAAAGATACCGCAGTTCATGTATTTTCTTCATAATGCAGTAAAACCTGAACCCTCCTACTTAAAGAGTAAAGGGGAGACAAAAGGAGT